AAAAAAAAACATTCATATCTTGTCTGACATCTCTGCTACAAACTCTGGTCATCAACTCTGGTTTTCAGTTGAAATTGGAATTGTTAATTTACACAATAATAGGAGTGCATTGACGATTTTTTCTTAACTCGCAAAAATCTTCAAACAATATGCTACTGATTGGTGATAAAATTTTTTGGAAATAAAGAAATAGGGGGGATAACGCCTTTTTTTCAGGGGTGATTTTTCAAAAATTTATTTTAAAAAAAGTTCTAACTAGCAAATGTTTTTTATTAGCTCGCAATTTTCTTCAAAACTACTTCAATGAGGAAAAAAATAAAAATTTGGAATATCTATACATAAGGGGCTAATTGATCGGATCTCCCGGGTGTACTATCTTTCGAATGTTATCTGGAATTTTTTCATCTCTCGTAATCCAAAATTGTCAATTGAGTGGTACATCATGTAGAAATTCCCAAAAATTATGATAGAATGATAAAAAAAATAGAAAAAATTCTGAACTTTTTCAAAGAGCGCTTTTAATTGAGATTCAGAATGAGTTGAAAAAAGTGGAAATTACAAATATCTGATTCGCTGCGGCAAAATATCTATTAGCTGTCATTTTCCATGGTGGATAACAAAACACTAACTCCTCATGGCAAGTGACAACTAGGTATCTAAATTTTCAAAACAGTGGTATGTAGTCATCTGTCATTTTTATGTGATGAAAGTGTGATTAAAAAATTCTCCCAAATATTAAAACTTTTTTCAAAGAGCCTTTTCCATAATAAATGTCTCTGTGCAGTGTGGGAAAAGATTTACGAAATCAGTCTTCCCCCTGCATGACATTGGCCGCCATTTGTCACCGTAAATCAGATACATTTTTCAATTTTTTGTGATTCAACTTATCCTGAATATAAATTAAAAATGCTCTTTGAACAAATTAAGAATTTCTTCTACTTTTTTTTTATTATTCATTCATAATTTTTCAAAACTTCTGCATGATGCAGGACTTAATTGACAATTCCAAATGACGAAAGATGAAAAAAAAACGTCGAGATAACGTCACGATCTGGCAACACTGATTTGAACCTTGTGAATGCAGTTGATGGCGATGTTGACGTCACCAGATCGCATTTCGCGAGCGGCGAGAGCCAGAAAGGCCCCAGGCTCGGCCTCTTCCGGCGTCTGAAGAGCTTTCGATCGATCCTGCCGCCTCTTGATCTTCAGCGACTGAATGATATCGCGACTTCCCATATTGACAGCAGCCGCCCGATCCTTATCTGTGTAGACCTCCTCCTGCTTCCTCTGCTCCCTGCTCCTCTTCTTCTTATACTTCTTCGTCTTCTGCTCGGCTATTTCGTACTCCGGCGATCCTTTGACAAGCCTACGCGTTCGCTTCGGTACCTGCTCGGGCTTGGCCCTTGGCGACGCTTGCTGAGGGTCAGCCCTTGCCGGTACTTTCTCCTTGCTCTCCTTTCTCGTCGGCTCCATCAGGGTCGATTTCTTCTTCGGCTCCGGGGCGCCATCGTCCAGGTCTATCCTCACGAAGCTCTGGAGGAAGTCATTGTCCTGAAGCGTTGGCTTCAGAATATCCGACACCTGCGTTATCATGGCGTCACCAGTGAACACTTGCATGATGACAACAACTTTTGAAGTAATAGTTTATCAACTTGTTTTAGCGAGGGGTTTAATCACACTTCACGGCAAATGCCGAATGCATTGTTATATCTATTAAAGTAATAACTCGAGAGGAATCGTAGAGGCGTATTTATTGACAGTTCTTCAGAATCGAAGATAAAAAAGGGTAATTCGTCCTGAAGTTATCTCTCAACTTTAGAGTAACAATCATCAGTCTTATTTTACAAAAGAGGGGAAGAGGGTAAATTAAACCATTCGATTCCGTAACACTATTTTCAAGATGTCGGAATTTTTTCACTTCTCGGTACGTGTGGATATCGACACCTCGGCCTAGGTGGCTGGTAACCTAGGGAACAGTCAACAATGCGCCACATACCGTATCCACCGGGTTCTTCGGCGTCGTTGGATAAGCTCCTATATCGCTTCCTCATATTCGTGTTTACACGTTGTTTTCGGGGGTTTACGGCGTGCGTATGGAGATGGGTTTACGGGTCATGTAATGTCTTCTCGGAGAGGGGTATCGTGCCATTCGTGGGGCACGTGAGAGAGTAAAAATCATAAACAGACATCACCTGTTGCCATGATAGAGGTCATTTGTACATCCCGTGCTCGCTGTCACCTTGGGTTTCTTCATGTCAGTGCTACTTGTTGATTGTTGGGGGTTCAGGCGGGTGTTAATATTTTAGTCAGTGGGAAGTGGTCGTGATTTGTTAGGAGTGACAACCGCAGGGGAATTTTAAAATTTTTTCTTGGTTTTTTTTTTTCTTTTCTATTTTCGTGGAATGAGGTGTGACTCGTCTCAATTGGACGATTTGGTTGAAACGTATTGGTGATTCAAGTTTTTTAGATTTTTAGAGCTGAAGATTTTTTTATGGAATGGAATAGCTTAAGGTCATCCACGTACTTTGGCTATTTTTTTTCCAGTGAAATGATTTTGTACTTTTGCAGTCGAACATCAGAGCTTTCATTTGAGCCCCATTTGACCCTAAGTTTCCGGTCATTTTATAATGATTTTATTATTTAAACTTTACAAATCTGAAGTTCAATCTCGATATTGAACCGATAGAAAACATTTAAAAATCAGAAAAAATTAGAAAGTTTGCAATTTTTAAAAATTAGGAGCATTTTTTATAAATAAATTTTAAAGAATCAATTTTCCGTCGTAAAAGATTCATTTGGAATCGTAACAAATTTATTCATATTCAGAATTTTACCAGAAATCGATTTAATGCCTAAAAAAAGGTTTCGAAATTTTAAGCATTTTCAATAATTTATTTATAATTTTAATAACGCTGAATGTTCATGATTTTTTTCAAATTTTTCTCACGCAATTGAATTGACATATTAAACTATTGAATAGAAACTATTTTACAGAAAAAATCAGTAAAATTTCACATTTCTGTGCAACTTTTTCTATTTATACATTTTCTATAGAAATTCTTCGACATGAATTTTCCAAGTGTTTTCCACTCAATTCTCCTCTTTTCAACAAAAAAAAACAAAAACACTTACAAAATTTGAACCCAGAAATTTCTGTAGAAAACACATGAATAGAATAAATTGTACACAAAAATCGAACTCTTCATTTTTTCAATAGAATATTATCCATTGAACATCTCTATAAAAAAACGCGCAGATAAATTGCGGATTTCTTTAGATTTTTATAAAAATGAATGAATACTCACCTTGTTATACAATAGTAGAGCCTTGCTATAAAGTTTACTCTTAAGATGACCGCCAGCCTCGTCAACTCGCAATTTAGTCTCGATTTGTGTCGCACTCTTTTTGGTTTTCGTCCCATCCTTATCTTTTTCCTTATTCTTCTTTTTCGACTTCATGCTTGGCCCCTGAAACAAGACGAAATGCGATGACACCATGAAAATACAGACCATAGATAACAGTTTACATTGCCCATGATTACGTAGGGGAGCATGGGGCAAAATGAAACACGGGGCAAAATGAAACAGTGGGAAAATCTCGTCATCTAAAGGAGATAGGACATTTTTGAAGAGGACCTTTTTTGTAGCTTGTAAAATTCTCTACAAAAAAGGTTTCCATGAAAATCGTCCTATCTCCCTTAGATCACAAGATTTTCTTGCTGTTTCATTTCGCCCCGTGTTTCATTTTGCCCCACCGTCCCCTACCTTTACTTATTTTCCGGTGAGAGACCACCAAAATCCACGAAATTCTATTGTTACGAAGGAATGTCGATTCGCTGCTGAAATTGCACTGACGTCCGCGTAAATTCGAAACTGGAGTAAATAACAACCTACAACAGTTAGCAGCTTGCACGAAAATAACGATCCCTTCACTAGCAACCACTCAACACATCAATCTTCATTATGAACTTTACGGATAAACCTTCCACTAATTAAAATTCACATTCACTTAGTTATCGCACGTCAACACGTGTGAAAAATCCCCGAGGAATAATCCTTGAGTGATAAATAACCGAGTGAACACAACTTGCGGAGCTTAATTGCGATGATTAACAGACGCAGTTCATGATCATCGCGTTGGGTCTAGCGTTGCAGCAGCAACTGGCGGTTACGAAAAGTGCAGAAACTACTGAGAGGTAAAAAAAAGGGGTGAGGATATTTAGGGGATGAAGAGCGCGCAAGCTCAGGATGTTTCCTTCGAGCTCTGTTTCCTTCAAACAAACACAGGAGAGACTGCTTTCACCGATTAACTAATGCTCTTATGTGTGCTTTGAATACTAAAGCTGAGGGATGAATATACTGGTGGCACATTCGTGTGCCTATCATTTCATGATATTGGAATGGAGAAACGAGGGGGTGGAGACAACTGGGAAAAAAAAAAATTAGAGACAAAATACTGGGGGACAGAGTTATAAAGCTCCGAGGATTGTGGATAATTAGGGGTAGCGTGGAATGAAAATTCTAGTTCTCAAACAACGATCGTCTTTCGTAGCCCGTGAATTATTATCCTCGCTTGTTCCTTTTTTTATCCTCAAGTTGGAGGGGTAAAATATCCTCAGGACACGCTTCAACTCCCGCCGGTTTCGACATAAATCAGTCAGAAGTTTTTGATTGTTTGAGGATGTAATGCCGGAATTTTCAGTGGCTTGACCCATACCCACGAGTACTTTACTTGTAATTACCAATCGATACTGGGAAGGGAAACCGGAGTGCTTACTTACACGTGATGGGGAGATTGAAGGAGGCCAAAGAGGAGTTTCAGCCCTTGCGTGCTACACTGTCTCCTGTATATTTTTTTTTTTTCAAATTGCGACTGACTATCGAGGAGATTTCAACGAAAGTAATATTGAGGTTTTTATTTCTTTATTATTCATGTGGCCCGGGGGATATCCAATGTATTAGAGTCACGTAAACCACTGCGGGAATGCACTTCGATCGGATAATGAACATGATTTTTTAAATACTTTTCTGGACGGGAAATCGGAGTAATTTTTCACTGCTTGGGTTGAAATTCGGAGATGTTCTCTTATCTTTGTGGTTAACAAGAAGTTTAATCGTGCAGAGAAAAATTAATTTAATTTATAGAAAAATTTTGGCTCAATTTTTTTTTAGAATTATATCTGGCGCATGAAAAAAAAAATTTGTTTGTAATTAAAAATAATAGTTGCTACTGAATGGAGCACAAATCACAAAATATTGTTATGGAAACATCAAAATTAAAACTATTACCGTGTTTAAAGCCGAGAGTCACGGAGTGACCATTGTTTATTATAAATCAGATATCTGATTTGTAATTATATATATAGTTATAAATATAATATAATATATAATTATAATTATTATTATTAATTATATATTATTAATAATATTATATAAATTATATAATAATAATTAACTAATAATATATAATTATTATTATTATTAATTATATTATAATATAATATAATAATATATTATATATATTATTATATTATATATTATATTATTATATATTATATTATTATTATATATTATATTATATTTATAATTATATATATAATCCGTTAATTTTTTTATACACCTGTTTTTTTATGTAAATACTGTAAATATTTGTAAATATCATGATTTGTTCACGCACGAAAAAATTTGAGCCGAGGAAATTCTACAGAAAATATCTCAATCGAATAAGTTATATAGAAAAATTGAATTCTATTGACTTTTTCCATTGAATATTTTCTATTGAACATTTTAGTAGAATCAGCCAAAAACTAATAGAACAATTCAATAGGAATTCAATAGAATTTTCTAACGAATTCGATAGGTTTTTTTCTTAAATTTTTTTAACATACACTTAAGTCGATAACTATCGATATCTCGCGAGACTGTCACGCTTATGCCTCATTGGCTCCAGTCGTCTGAGGCGGCAAATTCACGATTAATTTAATTTTGAGATTTTCAATTGTGATTGTTCAATTACAGCGCGATGTAGCGCGGGTTCGGTCTCGTAAAAAAAAAGCTCACCTCCGATTCCGCAGACTGATCTTACCGAAAGAGCCGCACGCAGGCAGGAAACTGCCGAACCAGCTGAACAGACCAAGCGAAACCTAAGGAGAGAAAACAGAAACTCGTCCCTGACCAACTCCAGCTCTAGCTCTAGCTCTAGCATTGAATCTTCCAAAGTTGTTATTTTATTTCGTACTGATGGAGCTGATTTATCTGGCAATCAATATTCACGAGTAGATGAATTAATCCACTCGTGAATATTTTATTATCTGAGGCAGGGTCTGAGGGAACCATTAACCTCACAACTTCTCATGAATGAAAGTCGCCAGTGGCGCCCCTCACGAGCAATCCCTGCACCCCCCAATTGTCACAAGTATTTCCGAAAACCTCACGGGGGTGGTGGGGGGCTGCTACGATGCGGGGTACATCGTGGGTGGCCCGGAGACGGTCTAAACGCTTGTGTGGTCCTCCGGGTAGTTCTGTAAGCTGGATACGATGCTGCCAAGGCCCTAAAGACGATGTGTACGACGCTTTGTCGACAGGAAGAGGCGCACAGACGCTCGCCAGTGGCTTCACTACGTCATCCATGATTATTGCAAAATTCCCCAGTTAAACAATGGCATTACTCCACACCAGGGTATGTAAATAAACATTCCTCGTGACTTTCACAATTTCTGTATTTTGATTTCTCATTTTTTTTAAATCATAACCTTTAAAGCACACCTGTTTGGGAAAGTAAAAAAAATTTGTTTACATTTTTTTTTAAAGTATTGTGGCCAATTATAGGAGGGGTGGGGCAGAACGGGAACTTTTTTTGGATGCCATGGGTCATAAATGAAGTTGTGATACGAATCACGTATGAAAAAAAAATTGAGTGAATGGTTTATTTGTGAATTGGAATTTATTCAAATTGTTCAAATTTATTTTAGTATTTATTTTTAATTCAATCGTATTTTTTACGATTTTATTTGTTTGCTACATTGTTATTTGTTTTTTTTACAATAGAATTCTTTGAAGAATTCTCATAAAACAAAAAAAAATTGATAGGATAGGTAAACAAGCCACATTTACAGATTTTTAATAAAAAAATGTTTATTGAAAAGCAAATGGAATTTTATATACTTAAACATAATTCTATACTCAAACATAATTTTATATTATATATATAAATTAAATTCTTATAGCATTCCAATAGAAATTAAACAGAATCTCTCAGAAGTGTTAGGTTTTTAAAATAATGTTTTTTTCACACATGATCTATACAAAAAAATGATGCCATATCATTAACAATTATAAATCATTACTGGGATGAACTACTTGCATCAGTCACAGAATTGATGAAATTTAAAATTAAGAAAACTGAAGTGTTCGATGGATGAAAAAAAATCGATCAGGATAAATCAATACTCAACTACATTTTGCGATGTTCTTCGATTTTTATTTACTTCATTATTCCTCAACGTAATTTTTCCGGGTCGATCCTTGAATTTAACCAGAACTCGAGAAGAAAATTACGAGAGTATGTATGAAGTACGATAGAAATCCATCATTTTAATTTGTGATTTCATTTCAACGTTACAAATGGATCCCGAACAGTGACTAAGACCCTGATTCAATCGTATTTTTTACGATTTTATTTGTTTGCTACATTGTTATTTGTTTTTTTTACAATAGAATTCTTTGAAGAATTCTCATTAAATAAAAAAAAATCTGATAGAATAGTTAAACAAGCCACTTTTACAGATTTTTAATAAAAAAATCTTTATTGAAAAGCAAATGGAATTTTATATGCTTAAACATAATTCTATACTCAAACATAATTTTATATTATATATATAAATTGAATTCTTATAGCATTCCAATAGAAATTAAACAGAATCTCTCAGAAGTGTTAGGTTTTTAAAATAATTTTTTTTTCACACATGTTTTATACAAAAAAATGATGCCATATCATTAACCATTATAAATCATTACTGGGATGAACTAATTGCATCAGTTACAGAATTGATGAAATTTAAAATGAAGAAAACTGAAGTGTTCGATGGATGAAAAAAAATCGATCAGGATAAATCAATACTCAACTACATTTTGCGATGTTCTTCGATTTTTATTTACTTCATTATTCCTCAACGTAATTTTTCCGGGTCGATCCTTGAATTTAACCAGAACTGGAGAAGAAAATTACGAGAGTATGCATGAAGTACGATAGAAATCCATCATTTTAATTTGTGATTTCATTTCAACGTTACAAATGGCGCCCGAACAGTGACTAAGACCCTGATGTCGGAGTTCGAAATTGAACTCCACCCAATTGCAACGAGTATTAAAGTAAATAAAAATGGAACAACACCCCAATTTCTTAATTAATTCCTTATCCTCATGATCTTCCATTCCCCTATTTATTTTTCCAGACCGCCCTCTACTTCTGCCTCCTAACAATCTCCACCAAAGTGGCCTCCGAATTATCCCGAAACTTCGTTGTAAACGACAACAACGAGAACGGAACATGGAAGGAACTGAGCCTGGCCCTGACGGACTCTAGCTGTCGCAGGCCAGCGCGCTGCGTCTCCCTCGAGTACAGGACATGCCTGGGGACCCCGCTGACCTACGAGCAAACCTCCCTCGATCTCCTCCCTGGCAATCACTCCCAGGACAAGATCAACGAGACCCTGACGATGCTGGAGAGCCTGAAGTACATTCCAAAGTGTTGGACAGTGGTCCAGCCACTGCTGTGCTCAGTCTTCATGCCCAAGTGCTCGAACAATCTCCTGGACCTGCCCTCCCCGGACACCTGCAAGAAGATACTGAAGCCCTGTGGCATTGTCATGAACAGCACCATCTGGCCGGACTTCCTGAGGTGCGAGAACGAGAGGATTTTCTCGACCCAGTGCAAGAATGACTTCAGAGACGTCAAGTTTGGAACTCCTGGCAAGTGCCTCAGTCCCCTGGTGAGTGTCAGCTCATCCGTCAGCTCGTCGGGGAGTGACGAGTCCTTTGATGGCATCGATGGCTGCAGAATTCCATGCAATGACCCCATGTTTTTGCCTGATGAACTCGCCCAGATTCACTCGTTCATCGCTTGGGCTGCTGGCATCTGCATATTTTTTAATATGTTCACGATGGTGACTTTCTTCATCGACTGGAGGTCTGCCAGCAAGTACCCAGCTGCCATCATCTTTCATATCAATGGGTGCTTCTTGGTGTCTTGCATTGGCTGGCTCGTGCAGTTCACTCCTGGCAGCAGGGATGTCATTGTCTGCAGGAAGGACGGCACTCCCAGGACTGGAGAGCCCAGGTGAGTTGGTTGGGCACAGCTGGGGATTATTATTTTACTAGATTGATTTTCACCATGTTATGTTATTTTATTTTATTTCCATTTCCGTCTTCATCATTAGATTAATTTAATTTTTTTCGTTTTTATTGTTATTGTATATATTTTTGTTCCTTAATTCACAAGGTATAATATTGAGTGAAGAGGAATTTTCCATCAATCGCGTGAGAATACAGATCGACAAACAATTTTCGATAATCATACCTGAAATTTTTCATTTCTTTCTTTTTCTTTGAATTAATTTGTGCTAATGATCTGAAAATGTGAACGAATATTACATTTTACATTCCTTTGATCTCATTTCGATGGAACCGAAGAAATTGCAAGGAGAGATCGATCAATCAGCATCAATAAAATGAAAAAATCGATTTTCCTGTCTTTTGGAAATTACTTTAAATTACTTTTTTCTTCTTAAAAAATGAAGGGAGATTGACATTTTTAATTTCTGTCATCGTATTCCCTTCACAGAAACAGGAAATACGGAAAATGATTTGAAGTGCCAACAATTTCTTTAATAATATCTTAACCAACCATCACAGTAATTATTATTTTAATTATGACGAGAGACTATTTGAAATAGTCATTTCGATGTCATTATTTTGATTACTAAACAGTTCTCGTTTGGTCGTGTTTCTAAAACTGAAATTAAATTATTTTTTGTCGTTTATTTCGTAACAATGGAAAATTGAATGGTTTATTTTTGATTGCGTCTCTCAATACTTTCTCATCAAAACATTTCTCAACAGAATAATTCAGTATTTAGGTTTTCAACATCACCTTCATCACTGAATTAAACCCTAAATTTTTCTTTACAGTGGAGAGAACATCTCCTGTGCAGCAGTATTCATAATGGTCTACTACTTCTCAATGGCAGCACTCGTCTGGTTCGTCATTCTCACCTACGCCTGGCACGTGAGCTTCCGGGCCCTCGGAAAAATTCGTGACAAAATCGACAAGAAGAACTCGTACTTTCATCTCCTCGCTTGGTCCATTCCATTCGTCCTGACTGTCCTCACCTTTGCATTTACGAAGATCGATGGCAACAGTGTCACGGGCATTTGCTATGTCACACATGAACCCATGGCCAGAGGTCTGTTGGTGCTGCTGCCTCTCACGTGTGGATCACTCGCCGCCGGATACTTCATATCTCGAGGTAATTAAATGAAGAAAGTAATTAATTATTTCTGATGATTGTTGTATTTTCTTATCAATTTTTTTCATGCTTACGGAATGCTTGGACACTTATTTGTAAGTTTGAATAGAGAATTTTATATTAAAAAGTTATTGGAAAATCTGCAGTGGATTTGAGAAAGGTGATGAGTCAATTAATTGATGAATTTCATAAATTTTATCTCATAAATATTTTGGGGATCGAGGGTAGAGGCGAATATTGACAGGTGTTTTAACTTGATGAGGAAACTCACTACGATAAATGTCATTTTATGAATTTGTTCAAAATTCTCAATTTTCGTAAAATATGTTGAGGCAAAAAAAGAGAATCATGAGATTTTTTTAGCTTTGAAATTATTCTATTAGAACATTTTTTTAAATTGAGGTAATAGTTCCATTCAAATTTTCAATGGGTGAATTTCAATTCAATTTGAGATTAAATCGTTCAGGGAATTTCGTATTCACCTTGGAAATCCAATGAAATTGGGTAAATGAAAAACTTCCTACAGACTTTTGATGATTTTTCCTGAATTGAATCTCTTCTAGACTCCAAAATTAGCTACAAGGTATCAAGAGATTTTTTACATTGACATTTCATCCACAACGAAATCGTCACATACAAACACCCGTGCGAATTTTAACACGGATCGACAAATTGTATCTATTTCATGCAATAATAACCAACTATTCCTATTTTGCCGACCAGCGCAAAGAATCCCTTTGAATTGGAATTTATTTCTAAAAAAACAAGAATTTTCTAGAAAAATCTGGAATTTGCAAGAAAAATCTAGAATATTCTAGAGAATTCTAGAATTTTCTAGAATTCCGATAGATGCCGCCACTATCGATAAGGAACCCTAAGGACTTTTTCCCTAAATGCAAACATAATGAAAACATAGACGTATCCACGTCAAAATTGGAATTTATTTCTAAAGAAAAACTGGAGAATTTCCTAGAAAAATCTAGAGAATTCTAGAATGTTCTAGAATTCCGATAGTTGCCGCCACTATCGATAAGGACCCCTAAGGACTTTTTCCCTAAATGCAAACATAATGAAAACATAGACGTATCCACGTCAAAATTGGAATTTATTTCTAAAGAAAAACTGGAGAATTTCCTAGAAAAATCTAGAATATTCTAGAGAACTCCAGAATATTTTAGAATTCCGATAGATAGCGCCACTATCGACAAGGACCCCTAAGGACTTTTTCCCTAAATGCAAACATAATGAAAACATAGACGTATCCACGTCAAAATTGGAATTTATTTCTAAAGAAAAACTGGAGAATTTCCTAGAAAAATCTAGAATATTCTAGAGAACTCTAGAATGTTCTAGAATTCCGATAGATGCCGCCACTATCGATAAGGAACCATAAGGACTTTTCCCCTAATTGCAAACAATGAAAAAAGACGTATCCACGTCAAAATTGGAATTTATTTCTGAAGAAAAACTGGAGAATTTCCTAGAAAAATCTAGAATGTTCTAGAATTCCGACAGATGGCGTCGCCATCGATAAGGAACTATAAGGATATTTTCCCTGAATGCCCGCTATAATGAAAACAGACGTATCCACCTCACAATATAATACAATACGCTGAATAGATTGGCTTCAAAAAACGTTACACTTCATGCATTATATATAAAAACAATACATTCCTGAAAGTTTTCCTTCTGAAAACTTCACATATTAACTTCAGAAATCCAACACAACACTATTCACTACAACTGACACACATCAACCCCCAGGGTATCTCCAAACCGAATAAAATGTAACGAATGGAATGTCTCCGCAGCACTGATCACGCTAATCGGCATGAAGATAAGCAGCCAAGACATAGTGCACGAGCGTGCGAGCTCAAAGATCCGCGAAACAATAATCCGCATAGGGCTCTTCACCCTCTTCATCTACGTGTCAGTGATAATAACAATCTACTGTCACATCCACGACTTCATAAACACCGACAAATGGTCCAAGAGTTTCCGTGACTACATGTGGTGCTCGATCCTGACGAAATCCCAGGGCACAAGCCAGTGCACAATGGAGTCTCGTCCTAGCATAGCAAAGCTCCAGCTGCACCTGCTGGCGCACTTCTTCGCGGGGATCCTGATGTCCTCGTGGGTGTGGACGGGCTCCACCGTGGACACCTGGACACGCTTTCTGCGGCGGACCTTTCACAACGAGACGGAGGAGCCCGTTAAACTGAAGAAGCACAAGGTGATTGCCCAGGCCTTCGCCAAGAGGAAGACCTTCAACAACGCAGGGCGTCTGTCCATCAGCTTCCATCACACCCACGAGGACCCAGTGGGCATGAACTTCGACCTGAACTCGGTGGCCTCGCAGGACTTCAGCTCGACGTGGGCAGCAGCCCTTCCCAAATTCGTGACTCGAAGGGGAGCACTCGTCGGCAACAACACAGGATCGACCTCGAGTTATCGAAGGAACTCCGTTGATTCGGAGATCAGCATAAGCGTGAGGAGGTTCTCGGTGGAGTCCAGGAGGAACTCCCTGGACTCCCAGATCTCTTATGGCGTGCAGTTCGCTGAATTGAAGACGACGAGGAAGGTTGCATCGTCCTCTGGGCACAGGTCGAGACGAGGAAAACGAAGGAGGGAGTTCAGCAAGTCCAGATCGACGAAGTCAGGGCACCTGCTGAGGAGGGGGAGTACGACGTCTCAGGAGAGCCAGTTGGGGGCGCAAATCCTGTCAGCGTTGACTATCGGTGGGGCTCACGTGCCGAATATGAAGAGGAGGTCGGCGACGGTGGGGCTGAATGGGGAGACGCTGGGGTCCAAGATCATGGATGGGAAGGAGATGGGGATGCTGATGCCTTTTTTGTTTGGGGGACAGAGTGCGAGCGAGGACGAGGGTAGCAGTGAGGAGAAGGGGGGGAATAATCAGGATGTGGAGGTTGGGGTTGTGGAGAAGAATCAAGAGAGCGAGAGCGAGGAGAGCGAGCCTGACGAGGGGACTAAGATGATTGAGCCCGAGGGCCAGGAGAGGAGCAAGAGCAAGAGCAGTGATAAATCATCGAAGAGCTGTTGTCATGAGAGTGGGAGGAGCAGGGAGAGCAGGAAGGGGAAGTACGTGATTCAGGATGAGACGGTGCTCAAGCAGTTGATTCAGGAGTCCAAGGAGATCGTTAGGAGGGATTATGAGAAGGAGGGTAACAGGAAACCTGGGATTGGGGACTTGGCGTCGAGCCTGACTTCGTATTGTCCGGAGTTGGGACGACTTATGATTGGGGATGGGCAGAGCAATGCTAGGGAGATGGCGACGCAGACGTCGTTACCACTGGATGTACTGGAGATGGAGGAGTTGAAGCAGAGTATTGATGAGATTATTAGTAGTAGGAATTGCAGCTCGAAGGGGACTCAGATCTCTCCGCAGTTGAATAAGGGGAGTCGGAGGGGGGAGAAGGTCTCGGGGGTCAGTCCCATACCTGCACCGAGACCTTCGAAAGAGGGGAAGAGGAAAGAGTCGAAGAATGTTTAAATGATCCAGTTTTTTCAGAGAAAATCGATAGGGAAGTGGTGAAATATTAAAGGACTGGATTTTTTGGGTCTTGCTGAGGATCTTTTAACTGCAAAAATATCTAAAAATATCTCTTGATATTTTTTTTTAAGTAAATTTTTTTGCCATATTTACAGAATATTCTGTAGTCAATTTTTAGATTAATCTTTTTAATCAGTTTGTAAAATGTTATTAAAAAAAAAAATTCGTTGTTGAAATGAATGCACCATCGAGTAAAATGTTGAATTTGTTAATTCACCACTTCTCTACTGAATTTAAAGAAGAAGGCGTTTGAACATTTTTTGAATTATAAAAAGATGTTTATAATGTTTTATAACGTTTTTTGTAATGTTGTCACTGCAACAGAAAGCAGAAAAGTATTTTTCCACGGTTTACAGATACCTCACGACAATTTTTGAGATTGAATAATTTTTTAACTCCTTTTGAATAATATTTTTAACATATTTTGTACTTAAGATTTACGAGAATACTCATTTATTCCATGACATATTTAACTCAAACTCTACTCGGCCAAATATTACTGTTCTACCGCACGTTGAAGAACATTAGTTGATGAGAAGATATATTTTAAGACTGAAATGTCAATGAATTCGTTTGATACGACGACGATACTGAAGAGTATATTTACATGTAGTTCGTAATTTTTATTTTTAAAACAATGCAATACATGACCTTCGTCAGAATTATTTTTTACCAATTCTCGACTCGACTTTTGAATTATTGTCGATTTGATTTGTGGAATGCAGCTGGAGTTCGTTGAATTTGTAACTGAAGATTCCAATAAACTATTCAATTAATATTGATTATTTCCTTATTTTCTGTTTAAACTTTTGATCTAATCGTTTCAGGAAACATGAATAAAGGAACCATAATTGTCCAAATCATTCAGGTCAAAGGAAAATAGAATAATTCTACTTTCTTAATATTGCGTTTACTAAGGTTTTCTTCGAACAAAGTTGATTAGAATTAATAGCTAGAATTATGAGATTATCTCACATTTTTTACGTTAAGGACAGGAGGATCTGAATGCAATACAGTGAAAATGATGATCGATTTTTCACTTTGAACAAATAATATTAATTTCCAAATACAAAATTTCTGATGTGAATAAAAAGAAGCTGTGACTCAATATTCCAAATGAAGTTTTAATTTTTAATTTGGTGCTGATAACACGAGATGACAATATTCTAAGAACGGAATTATACTGATGAGATGAACAACAGATTAATTGAATTACCGTGTCAACTAACTAAAAATTGATAACAGTGTGGGCACGCACTTTTACCAGAGTATCAACAAACATTGAATTCCAGAAATTCACACTCTAAAGTGTGTTCCAGAAGGAATTGAATTGCAATTATGATTAAAGTCTTATTCAGTGAACGTAGGAATTAGAACATGAGCAAATCATTTATTGTAATATGAAAATTTAACAGCTGATAAATTGCATGTCGCATTGCTTTTTGCCATGAGAATGAACATAAACAATTAATTGAAAAAAGGAATACCGAATCTGACAGGAAAAAGGGCATCCACACCTGTGGCACTAGTTAATATAATATTCTATTACTGTTGTCGGCTTTCACATAGGCACAGTAAGACTCCTATTAAGTAGAAAATCATCACATTCTCTTCCTTATTACACCGTGAACACATTTTTTTACTCTAACTAAGGCAACAATCTTTCCTAATACCCTAGGAAACTTTAATCTATATTGTTTTTCACATTGTCTATACGGATTCTACTGTTAACTCTACTGTTTCATTTCACAATTTCCCTAGTCATCACTTAACACTAATTTCGGGATGAAAAATGGGTACAAAAATTATAAAATTCACTGGACAATCTATCACTGATGTCCAATCGATCGATGAAATCATAGGATTAAAAAAAAATTGATTGATTCAATTCTTCAACAACTGAATTTCGCTGGTGAGTTGAAATTGCCAAATTATTTACTTGGTTTTCTTCTTCTTACTAGTCTTACTGGATGTTCTTTTGATGGTACCTGCAAGCAGATTGTGAGAAACATTTTTTTTATATCACTTAGTATTTTAAAAGACACATGCGAGTTCAATGTGCAGATATTTATTGACGAACAATGATGACAACATTGACTTACGAATGTAGTAGTAAAGTAATTTAAAACGTGGCAGAATGTACACAGAACGACAGATGTCGGAGTATTTGTTCAACTTAGGAGATGAGAAAATTAATACTATTTACAAGACTCGTTGGGATTGGTAGAGAACAGGAGGATATTTTTAAAGCTTATGAAATTATCTACAAAAAAGATTTTGATGAATTTCCTCAGGATTTGATTTATTTCAAATTATTTAGGAAGTGTTGACGAGTAAAATGGCAAAACGTAATATTTAAGATAATAATTTTTTTATTCATCAGGTAAACAGAAAATTATTTTTTAAAAAATTATTAATAATAATAATAATCATTATTATTATTATTAACAATTGATTATTTTATTATTATTAATTATTATTTGTATTATTATTATTATTAATTTTTTGATAATTTTCTGTTTAACATCAAACAGAAATGAAAATAATAGTTAATTAAAAAATAATTTGTTATTAAAATAGTTTTAATAATAATAATAATTAAAATAATAATTATTATTATTAAAATTATTTTCTGTTCAATAGATGAATAAAAAAATTATCTTAATAAATAAATTGCTTAAGAAAAAATGTAAAAATGCATTTTTCTCGGAAATTTTTCCAATTAAAAAAAAATGTCTTGAATTTTTTTACATCTGATTAAATACTTGAAAAAATGGCATTGGATTAATTACGATTAGCCACCTCATCGTCGAATAAATGAAATAAACCCTACAACTAGAGCTTTAAATATCTATAACACATTCAATCTCAAAACATTCATAAATGCATTGAAAAAAAGTATCAAAAAAATGCATTCGATAATTCGTTAAAAGACTAAAACACTACAGTACATCGAGCAGAATATCAAGTGTTCCAACAATGAGTTGAATGACGTGAATGGCATGAGCTTGACACTCGAGTGTGCACTCAATAAACTTTAAAGTGCCTCTTAATAGGGCACAATCCCCTCATCACGACATTAAATTAAAAAACTCGTCTCTGCTAATAATTAGACTAGGGCCGATGATCCCTTCACGTGAAGTTTTATGTGGCTAGTTATCTCGGATAGACCTTTGGTTGCTCACCACCGGCGATTTTTTTGCGTTTTAAATTCCTCGTCACTATCCTCCGCTAGTTTTTTCTTTCCTACACCCCAAAGATTAATCGATAAATTCACTGATTAACGCCGATTTGTGCTTGATTGCCTTCGATTAAGGCTGTTTTGTGCTCGCAGTGAATGAAGTGGAATGAGATCGAAGAAGTACTCTAACTGATGCATGCTTTTTCTGCTAATGAAGCGGGTCGAGAGGAATTTTTTGATAATTTTATGGCTGTGAGTTTGCAATGATTCAGATATTATTCAATTGAAAGCAAAATATTTAAGAATACTAATAAATAATCGTGATTTTATCAAAATAACGTGTTGAAAGGAACAGGAATGAGTGCCGATAACCATAAAATTATCGCGAATTCCCAAAATGAAAATAAAATTCGATATTCACCACCACCAAACCCACCACCGATGAGAGGAGAGCCTGCGTTGGCATCACCCTTCGGTGACAACTGGCGTGGCTACTTGTTTTTCGAATGGCTTTTCAGTTGCTTAGAGTGTTCGTTACCCCAGAGAAGGTGATCGAAGAACTCTCCGACGAAGTAGAGGGAACAACAAAAGACGAATAGAACGATGTGGAAGACGATCCTCAGAGGTATTGAGAGGACCTCCAGCACTGGGTACACCCAAATGCCGCTCTTGTAGTAGATGAAGTGGAGCCTGGGGATAAAAATAATATTCATGAAGATTCCTGACTTTTATTGAGAGTAGATAGAATTAATTGATAATTTTAATAAAATTATTGACAGTGTGTAAAGTTTATGTCGAGGAATTTCTATAAACAATATAATAGTTTCTACAGGATATTTTCTATTTAAAAGACGCGCAGTAAAAAAATTATATTGAATTTCTATTGAACTTCAATTGAAAATTCTGTTAGTTTATCGCAGATTCTAATGATCAATTTTGTGGACTCTTGCGCTTTTTTGAATAGAAAAGATCAATGAAAAATTTGTAGTGAGAAAGAAAGAATTGGAGTGAAAAAAGCTTGGAAAATTTGCCAAGGAATTCCTATGAAAAATAGTTTCTATCGGACATATTCTATTCGAAAAACGGGTAGTAGAGCTGCAAAATATTTTCATGGAATCGGCGGTGGATAGAATATTTCGATAGAGTTTTAGAATTTTAGAATTTTAACATTTTAGAATTTTAGAATTTTAACATTTTAGAATTTTAACATTTTAGAATTTTAGAATTTTAGAATTTTAGAATTTTAGAATTTTAACATTTTAGAATTTTAGAATTTTAACATTTTAGAATTTTAACATTTTAGAATTTTAGAATTTTAGAATTTTAGAATTTTAGAATTTTAACATTTTAGAATTTTAGAATTTTAACATTTTAGAATTTTAGAATTTTAGAATTTTAGAATTTTAACATTTTAGAATTTTAAAATTTTAGAATTTTTACATTTTAGAATTTTAGAATTTTAGAATTTTATATAAAATTCGCCAGTTCTTCAATGAAATTTATTCATGAATGTCATTTCGATTAAATCCTCTTACCAGGTTAAATACGTGAGCATGAGAAGTCCAAGTCCCCCGAGACCGTGCAATCTCTTTGGGTACTGTCTCGGTGCAACAAGCATTTCAATAACTGTTGAAACCATAATCATCGTATGCATGAGATGATTCAACCACCATGGGAAGTACGGATCGAGGGCTTTTGGCAGCACCAATTCACGGTCAACGAACATCAGTGCCCAGAACGTGATGCCTACAAACTGAAAGATAATAAAAAATCCTGTAGAAGGAACGTAAGAGTCCAGGAAAATAAGATGTAATGTGAATGTCCCAGTAGCTGAACCCTTAAGCCTAGTAATTGGCTCTGCAAGTGAAACCGCATAATTTTCGTCAGGAGAGGCAAAAAAATCCTTCGTGTTTATCACTTCATTGCTCCCATAAAAAAATATATAATATGGGTCAATTCCATATATTTTTCAAATTTATAATGAATATATAAACAATATATAAAAATATAATATATATAAACTATATATTTTATAAGAAATATATTATATAAAATTATATAGTTTATATATTTTATATAATATAATATATTTTTATATAATATATTTCTTATAAAATATATTATATTATATAAAATATATAGTTTATATATTATATTTTCATGTATTTTTTATTTTACATCATTCAATCGATTCAGAACATTTTTTTTTAGTTATCGTGGAAAAACCGATTTTTGAAAAAATTCGAAAACTAAAAAAATAATCGATGAATTAAATTTTAATTAATGGCGATCGATAGGGCTCAACAATACCTACATTTGAAAAAAGATTCAATTCTATCCATTCATTAGCGAATAATTGAAAAAAAAAAAAACGAAAAAATGCAGAACGTAAATTTGAACGATTAGAATGCTTCCATTCTGAAGCAAAAATTTAAGAGTACTTTTTATTCTGATGGTAACCCACGCAGTAGGGACGACTGGAAATTTTTGAAATTACAGTTGTAATTGTACTCACCATAGCAAGTGGAAAGCTGAACGCCGCATGGAAATAATCCTTGATTCGTCTGAAAATCGGGGCTTTCTTCGGCTGAATTTTACTCGAGCCATAGAGATCATTCAAGATGCAGAGGAAGAAGAATAAAGACTGCGCTATCTGCAACACAAAAAAATCCGTAAATATCGACGAACTGTTTTCTTGAATAAAACATTTTTCTGATGAGGAAGTCTATTTACAAAGTATCACGCACGAAAAAAATTTAATCGAAAAACGTAGCGAATTCACAAGACAATTCTATTGGATTCGATTTTCCTAAACAACTTGTTCTATTGAGAAATTTCGTACAGAATTTCCTCAGCTCAAATTTTCAATTTTGTTTTAAATTTTATTTTTCTTTTCGTTTTGTCAAGAAAATCAAATAAGAAAATATAAAAAAAATGAGGCGAGGAAATTCTGCAGAAAATATCTCAATAGAATAAGTTATACAGAGCAATCAGATTCTATTGAATTTTTCTGTAGAATATTTTCTATGAAGATTTCAGTAGAATCGACCAAAAATTAATAGAAGTCGAATAGAATTGTCTAGCAAATTCGCTAGGTTTTTCGATAACTTTTTTTCGTATGTGATGGCCGATTGATTGGGTCTGTCGGACTTATGCACCCACTCTGTTGAATAACTCTTGACATTAGGCTTCAAAAAGAGGGAAATCGATATTTATCTCCGTTCGGAATAATCATCTGGAAATAACTTTGTGCTCTCACGATGCAGTCGTACTTTGTAGAAAGTTTAAATTACGTGTTACTCAATCACATCAGGATCCAGGATCCTACGGTTATGACCCTTGTTATGCTGGAATAAATGTACTCTGATTGTCTTTTGAGATCTAGTTAAATTGAGGGAGGACGAATGAATGTTTTCGTGTTTCGAGTGGACGTTGACGGAGATAATGGAATTGTCTTGGTCTCGAGGGCGTTATGCAATGAAATTCAAGTTGAAGGTCCCTGCAAATGAATTTGGTTCGCGAAGAGTAACATTTTTAGGTTTTTTAAAATTTAATAACACTTGAAAAATTTGGAATGACAACTCCACTGAAATATCAATTGGGAAATTCCTTGGAATTATAAAATTCATTGAAATTTCGGATTTTTTTAATGAGAAAGTCAATGGAAACTGTAAATTTTAATTCAATTATTTCATGGAAATTAATTGACATCGGGAAAATTAAGGTAAATATCTTTTGGAATTTTTAACCAATTGAAATTTCAGTGTAATTTAACACAGAATATTTAAGTTTTCTTGGAAATCGAAATAATTTTGGGAATTTTCGTGGTTTTGCTGTTCAAAGATGTGAAATTCCATTAAATGTTCAGAGAACTTTAAACTTCACTACTTTCAGTGATTTTCTCAGCATTTACCTTATTTCATAAATAACAATTCATTAGCGAAGTGGTAAAACGGCCCAAGTCAATTTTGACTATTGCCCAGTTTTCAATGAATATCTCGGAATCTAAGGGAGATAGCAAAATTTTTGTCATAAACTTTTTTGTAGAGCCGATTGAGAGCTACAACAAACGTAATTACGAAAATTTCGCTATCTCCCTTAGATTCGGAAATGTTCCCCAAAAACTCAACTGGGAGATGAGTCGACTTAAACCGTTTTACCACTTGGCTACTGAATGAATTGTGAGGTTTTGCTGTTTAAAGATGTGAAATTCCATTAAATGTTCAGAGAACTTTAAACTTGACTACTTTCAGTGATTTTCTCAGCATTTACCTTATTTCATAAATAACAATTCATTAGCGAAGTGGTAAAACGGCCCAAGTCAATTTTGACTATTGCCCAGTTTTCAATGAATATCTCGGAATCTAAGGGAGACAGCAAAATTTTTGTCATAAACTTTTTTGTAGAGCCGATTGAGAGCTACAACAAACGTAATTACGAAAATTTCGCTATCTCCCTTAGATTCGGAAATATTCCCCAAAAACTCAACTGGGAGATGAGTCGACTTGAACCGTTTTACCACTTCGCTACTGAATGAATTGTGAGGTTTTGCTGTTTAAAAATGTGAAATTCCATTAAATGTTCAGAGAACTTTAAACTTGACTACTTTCAGTGATTTCCTCAGCATTTACCTTATTTCATAAATAACAATTCAGTAGCGAAGTAGTAAAACGGCCCAAGTCAATTTTGACTATTGCCTAGTTTTCAATGAATATCTCGGAATCTAAGGGAGCTAGCAAAATTTTTGTCATAAACTTTTTTGTAGAACCGATTGAGTGCTACATCAAACGTAATTACGAAAATTTCGCTATCTCCCTTAGATTCGGAAATATTCCCCAAAAACTCAACTGGGAGATGAGTCGACTTAAACCGTTTTACCACTTGGCTACTGAATTAATTGTGAGGTTTTGCTGTTCAAAGATGTGAAATTCCATTAAATGTTCAGAGAATATTAAACTTGACTACTTCCAGTGATTTCCTCAGCATTTACCTTATTTCATAAATAACAATTCATTAGCGAAGTGGTAAAACGGCCCAAGTCAATTTTGACTATTGCCCAGTTTTCAATGAATATCTCGGAATCTAAGGGAGACAGCAAAATTTTTGTCATAAACTTTTTTGTAGAACCGATTGAGTGCTACATCAAACGTAATTACGAAAATTTCGCTATCTCCCTTAGATTCGGAAATATTCCCCAAAAACTCAACTGGGAGATGATGAGTCGACTTGAACCGTTTTACATTTTACGTTTTACATTGTGAGGTACAAACCGCATCCCAGAAAGTGAGGAATTTGAACTTCCCCCCGTAGGCTCCGTGCATCCTAGCCACGGTTATCGGTACATTGGTAAATGTGAAGTCATAATAAACTGAAAATGCAAATTGCGCGCAGGCAATCACGTGAAATCCAATCAGCAGCGGCTCCCTCATGTCCCCGATTTTATATGAAATTTAACGCTGACGTTTTCTCAATTTTTATTTCACTCCGGCGTCTGCAATTAATCGGTTAAAAGTCGAAACGTGCGGGGAGCGATGGGAGTAATCGACAGACGAGATGCTCTGATTCATTTGATCGGGAGATAAAAAGGGTGACGGTATGTGAGAAGAGATCGACCTAATGTATATCTGGACTCGGTCGAGTGGTCGATCGGTCGTTGGCTTCTGCAAATGTGTTGGACTTTCTCTCTAAACTTATCGGGCTGCTTCTGTCGGGATCGATTGGGGAAAAAAGGGTCGACTGTTAGAGCTTTGAAAGAACTCGAGGTATTTTTGGTTTAAAACAGTGTGAATAATCTTCAAGTGAGTCGTCGGGTGTAACGAGGAAAAATTAATTCTAATAGTCAAAAAATCATTATTAGTAATTTTTTCTGTGAATGTTAACTTTGACTAATGGAAGAAATTGATTCATGAAATTCTTTCTTCAATTATTTTTAACTAGGGNCCCCCCCCCCCATGACGTTCTGAGAAATTTCAATAATTATTTATTTTGTTATTTTCAGTCCAATTCATGCACTAGTCCGACAGTGCAATTCAGTTGTGATTCAATTCAGATTTTTTACAAAAAAAAAATCTGCGAAAAACTAATAGAATTAACTGGTTAATTCATTACGTTTTATTTAAAATTTTTATGATGAATGTTTTTTGTGCCGTTTCCAAATGGAAATAATGCAATTGTTCTTCCCCTCTTCGATGCTGATCTTTGCTCTCACCTCTCCATTCAATCGACAGAGCGATGCAAAATGTTAATGAGTAATTACGCTACGCGTTCATGAAGAAGCATCGAGTGTAAAAAGTTTTAATTCCATTATCGCTCGTATCACGCAGACACTGGACATGTTTTTTTTATTGCCAGCGTCGACAATGGCTCGTTCATCCGAGCATTTCGAACTGAACACAACGAGACTCGCTGACGGATATTAGAGCCTCCATTTGGTAGGTAAATAATGTGGCTGGAAAACCACGGATTGCGAGGCGCAGTGGAAGTTTACATTTTCCATGGACAACTACTTGTGTATTGTTTTTATACATGAATGTCACAATCGCTGGGAAAGTGGTTCCGTCCGTTGGGAACAAAAGAATACCATAAAGGGTCATAACATTGAGAAGACCTACTTCTAGAAAATTTATCCAAAGACATCTTACATTTTCTGAAAAACAAAAAATCGAAGTGATGAAAAAATACAGAAAATAAATTTTTTCTGCGTTGAAAGTCTTCTAAATAAATTTACGGATAAATTAATAGAAAATTCAGTGGCGAAGTGGTCGAACGGTTTAAGTCGATTTTAGCTATTGGCCACTTTTCAATGGATATCTCGAAATCTAAGGGAGATAGCAAAATTTTTCTCAGAACCTTTTTAGTAGCACTCAATTCGCTCTACAAAAAAGGTTATTATGAAAATTTCGCTATCTCCTTCCAATTCGGAAATATTTCTGGAAAACTCAGCTAAAGATTAAATCGACTTAAACCGTTTGACCACTTCGCTACTGAATTGCTCGACCTTTGATGGAGAAAATGAGTAAACAAAAAGAAATAAATGTGAGGAAATGAAAACTTGAGAGAATTGATAAATTCATTTATTAAATTTTTTAAAATAAGAAATTCCGTTCACGCTTTCAAGAATTTTCGAAACGAAAAAAAAAATCTAAAACATTATATAACACCAAAAATTGACACACCTTTTGGTTTTATAGTGCGTGACTTGACGAAAAGAAACTTGTTTGAAAAAATTTGCTGTATTTCCCATGAAAGAACAGAAAAATTACCATAAAATCGTTAAGTAGTCGTTCAATTAGTGCTCGTTTCAACGGTGCATAACTTAATAAACAAAAAATCGATGTTGGAGGGGCTCTCGCTGTTTCTTAATAATTGAATAAGCCTCGTAACTATTGGGTTTTCTAAAAACATTTCAGTGGCGATGTTGCGAAACAAAATGCGTCAATTTCACCTGGAGATATTTGGAAAATATTTCGAAACATAAAAGGGATTGAGTCGTCGTCCCTTTTAACTTCTTAAATATGTTCTTTACGAATTCGCCTCCAAAAATTGTCCTCGAGCATTTTTCATTATTTTTCATTTAATTTTCTTTCTGTCTATGAGATAAAAAAAATTTTCGAATAATTATTGAAAGAATTCAGATAACTTTTTAAGGATTTTTTATTGCTCACTAATGAGTCGATGGTATCCAATATTTTTATCTCAAACGTATACTGTTGGAAATTCTTTGAAATTTCATGGAAAATGTAGTAATTCTCATGAGAGTGACATTGAATTCAATTTAATGGAAAAATGGCTATTAAATTTCAATTCTGAGGTAGAATTCAAGGAAATTCATGAGATTTCAGTGGAACATGAATATTCAAAAACAAAATGACAAGTTTTCTAAATTTTCACGGAGTAATTGACCTGACAAATCGAGTAATTTATGAATTTTCAAATTATTCGAACAGAAAATCAATGGAATATTCAATTTTTCAATAACAACATTTCCAGAAATTTCAGTAGAACTTCAAAATGATAAAAATTTCCTGCATTTGACACAGGAAAATCAGACGAAAAATGGCTATTAAATTTCAATTCTTTGGTAGAATTCAAGGAAATTCATGAGATTTCAGTGGAACATGAATATTCAGAAACAAAATGACAAATTTTCCAAATTTTCACGGAATAATTGAACTGAAAAATCGAGTAATTTATGAATTTTCAGATTATTCGAACAGAAAATCAACGGAATATTCAATTTTTGAATAACAACATTTCCAGAAATTTCAGTAGAAATTAAAAATGATAAAAATTTCCTGCATTTGACACAGAAAAATCAGACGAAAAATGGCTATTAAATTTCAATTCTTTGGTAGAATTCAAGGAAATTCATGAGATTTCAGTGGAACATGAACATTCAAAAACAAAATGACAAGTTTTCCCAATTTTCACGGAATAATTGAACTGAAAAATCGAGTAATTTATGAATTTTCAGATTATTCGAACAGAAAATCAACGGAATATTCAATTTTTGAATAACAACATTTCCAGAAATTTCAGTAGAAATTAAAAATGATAAAAATT